AGGGCTAGGGCTGGGCCCAGGGTAAAAGCTGTGAAGGAAGGCATGTTGTGGCAGTTTTGTGTTCCCCCTGGGATGCCCGCCACCCCTGCCCCCTGCCCTCTGTCACCCCCCAGCTTTGAAATCAGCGGCGAGGAGCCTCTCCCTGGAACCACCCTGCGACCCCTGCCCACCTCCCTGTCACCCCCTGCCCTGCCCATCACCCCGTGTCACCCCCTGCCCGTCACTCCGTGTCACCTCCTGCCCAGTTCCTGTCACCCCCCGTGACCCCAAGCCTCCACAGGTGCCTCCCATGTAGCTTATGGCACTGCAGTGTCACTCCCCAGGTGCCCCCCCCTTCCCCAGTGCCACCCTGTGTCCTCAGCCACGTCACCTGCCCTGTCACCTGTGTCACCCCTGACCCGCTTCCCGTTAAGTGTCCCCAGGTCCCCACAAATTACCCCCTGCTAACTCCCGGCGTCCCTTCATCCCCTTCCCCGCTTCCTGCCCTCGTGCCCCCTTGACCCCTTGTCTGTCTGGGGCTTTTGGGGGGCTTGGGGATGACCCCCCCACCTTGTTGCCTCCCCTCTGCAGCCATCGTGCTGGCCATGGGCAAGGAGGGCGTCCACGGCGGCTGCGTCAACAAGAAATGTTATGAGATGGCCAATCACCTGCGGCGCAGCCAGTACTGAGCGGGCTGGGGGCCACCCCCGGACCCCCAGGGACCAGCAGAAGCCGCCAGGGACCAGCAGGACCCCGTCCCCCACCCCCCTGCCCGCCCCCAATCCCCGCTGCCGGCAGCAATAAAGTGCCCTCGTGGGGAAGTCGCTGTGTTTCGGGGTGCCGGGGTGCGGCTCTGTCCTCCGCCCAGGGTGGAGGCCACGCCGGATAACCGGGTCCAAGGGTGCTGCCGTGCCCCGGGGGGACAAAGTCCACGCTGGGGCGGGGGTGACGCCTCAGCACACGCCCCACACCGCCCCCCCCCCCCCCCCCCCCCAACGCCCCGGAGGCAAGGCTGGGGGGGAGGG